TGCCTGTGATTCGTCCCTCCCGCTGCCTTGGCGAGGACAGAACGAGCCGTTCAGAGAGCAGGTCACAGGCTCCGTGTGGCTGCCGTCAGGCCACGGAGGACGGGCTAGCTTCCCACGCCGCGGACCCACCGAAACAGCCGTAGCCAAATCTGCAGCGTCTTCCCTGAGACCCACACTTGGAAAACCCATCATCATACGTGTGGGAAGCGACTCTCCCCTCCCGATTGCCGAGGGCTCCCAGATGCCCCCAGGTCGCAGACCCCAGGCACCCGCCTCCAGGGAGGCCCCTGGGTAGAATCAGGCCTGCGTTTGTTTTGAGCTTGGAATTTACGATTGTATTTGTCACTCTTCGGCTCGGACAGCGCCTCCTGGGACCTGGTAGCCTTGGCTCTCGAGGGCCGAAAGCACATTCCCGGCTGTGAACAGGACCGGCAGGCTGTTTCGGTCCCTTCGGCCCCTCACCTTGCGTGGCAGATGGAGGAAGGGGATCGGTTCTCGGCAGCCAAAATCCTGTGCCACGTTTGGAATGGCTTCCCCCCCACCCCCCCAGTAGGGTGAGCCCGGGGACTGGAGGAGGCTGCTTGCGACACCTGAGCCAGGCCTGCCCCCCAGCAGGCAGCTCGGCCCGAGCGCTGCTTAGTCAGGCTCCCATGCGGAGCTGAGCTGCGGATGTGCCCGGACCTGCCGCCGCCAGGTGTCTGCGTCTGGGCCGGGAGGTGACGGCACAAATGTGACTCCTGCCTCCTGCTGTTTCCCAACACTGTCCTCAGAGGAATGTGCAGGACCCAGGCCAGGCCTCCGCGGAGAGCGCGACAGAGCCGCGGCCCTCTGGCCACGCTGCAGCGTCAAAAGACCGTCTGCACGCCCTCCGTGACCCTCACGCCGTCCGGCCCACGCCGCCAGGGCTGGCTCCTCACCCGGACCGGGGTGGGCTCGGGTCGCAGGCAGCTGACCCACCTGCACTCCTGTAACCTGCGGTTTCCAACATTCGTTCCCAAACCTCCCTGCTAAAGGCGCTGCTTTTCTCTTTAAAACGACGATCCCATGATTTAAAATGCCTTTCTTGGGGGCGCCTGCATGGTTCAGTCGGTTAAGCATCCGACTTCGGCTCAGGTTCATGGGTTCGAGCCCCGCGTCGGGATCTGTGCTGACAGCTCGGAGCCTGGAGCGGCTTCAGATTCTGTGTCTCCCTCTCTCTGTGCCCCTCCCCTGCTCACATTCTCTCTCTCTCTCTCTCTCAAAAAATAAACATTTTTTAAATGCCTTTCCTTAATTGAAAAAAAATCCTTTTTTCAAATTTGTTTGTCGCCACTGGGGAAAATTTTCTTGTGAGAATCAGCTTCCCAAGAGAAAGCTATCCTGCATTTAACAGAATTATTAACAACTAGAGGAATACCTCCCAGAGTGTAAATATTGAAAAAGCTTTGTAGCCTGTTAGTGGACCTGGTAGGCAACACAATATGGCTGTTGTTGATCTCTGTGTGGTTTTTGACAATTCAAGGTTAAGTTCAGACAGGCTGTGAGCCGTTTTCCCTCCAGAGTGATTCGCCCGCTACGGAAGTTGGTTCCACACCTACTGCGCGCAAAGCCCAGGCCTCCAGAAGACATCAGTGCATGGAACAGCAAGTGCAGATGAACAGCACGTCGGCCAGGTTCAGCCTGCAAACACATTTTGCGTGACTCACACCATATTGATCAAAAATTTGAATTTGTTGCCAACTTTTAAATATCAGAATATCCCCCGCGTCTCTTGAAAAAACTCAGGAAATCTGGCAAAACCGAGCTCACATTCCTGGCTGAAGGCAAGCCGAGTGACCTCAGACGGGCACTGGTCTCAGTTCACACAGCCCCGCACCTGCCCTGCCTCCCTCCCACTTAAGCCGCCCTGGGGCGCTTCCTGGGGTGCACCGTCTCAGCTCACCCACTCTCAGGAACAGGGGACTCAGGGACAGAGCAGCCCCAGCCCGGGCAGTTAGGAACAGCCGCCTCCTGCCTCCGCAAGAACAGGTCACAGGGATTTTTCTTTGTGTCTTCTCAACTTCTCATCTCTTTTTTAAAATTGTTTAATGTTTATTTATTTTGAGAGAGAGAGACAGAGAGAATCCCAAGCAGACTCCGTGCTGTCAGTGCAGAGCCCAACACAGGGCTAGAACCCACAAAACCATGAGATAGTGACCTGAGCGGAGATCAAGAGTCGGCTGCTTAACTGCCTGAGCCCCCAGGCACCCCCAACTTTTCCTCTTTTCGGTAAAGACTTTTTTTTTTTAAATCCCTGGTAAAGTAAAGTGAGGGGACATAGTCTGGTTTTAGTGCTCGCGAAGGCAAGGAACTGAGCACAAAAGGGAAATGGCCAGATCGAAGCCCAGAAACAACGGGAAGACTCTGAGAGCAGGCGGGGGTGGGAGGAGCACCCCGCGGATGCCCCCATTTGCCAGATGAAGAGGTCAAGACCTAGAGAAGGGGAAGGGCATGCCCAGGCCCCGCACTACTGAGCAGCGGAGAACAGACGCGTGATCCGAGCAGCCTTCGCCCAGTGATGTGAAGGGGGTGCTCTCGCGGTCCGAGCTTCCGCTTAGGCGTTTCCAAGAAGTGGCAGAGAAGCCCGTCCGAGCTGGAAACAAATGTGAGGACCGATTTCGGAAGTCGCACGGTAGCGTCACATACACGGTGCTAAGCGAACCTGCAGAAGATGAATTGGCACTTCCAGACCTACTGATGCCCCGTAGACGGGTCAAGCTTGTCATATTCGAGGACACATGTCTGTCGATCCTGATGGGCATTGGGAGGTTTGCGAATTACGTATTGCCCAAATCCTCCTTGTGTTTTTAACCGGAAACAAACAGGCGGGTCCTGCTATTTGTTCCGGTGGGAAATTCTACGAAGATCAGTGTAATTCAGTTGCAAACGACACGAAGATGCTGACCAAAACTCTTCCACCGGACAGATGACAAGTGCTCACGTGGGCCACTGCCTGGGACTTAGACATCTTTCGGTTTGCTTATACTAAGCATCGATGGCCGTTCAATAATTCTAACCAGGACTCCTCTGGCAACAGACTTAAGTTAATTCAAAACCCAGCTTCATGGGCAGCATAAAGGAAAGGCAGGGAGCGGCGTTGGCAGAACAGGCCATCCTGTTTCGCCCACCAGTCCGGCCGGGGACAGGGCTGCGCACCTACTGTTACAGACTAGGACCGTGAGGCCACGAAAGCTGACCTCCGCGGCCGGTTTCCAGTTGCCGGAAACCGGCTACACCCGGGTCACTCTAACTCCAGACCCTGAGCCTCATCGGCTACAGCAGCTCACGGCCCGGAAGCCCTGAGATGAGCAGTGACCAAAGAAGTCAGGACGAGGCTGCCTCCCAGCCAGGCTAGAGAGAGCCGGAAGCACAGTAAGAGAGGCAGATGCAAGCGGCTGGGGGCCAGAACGGGACAGAAGCACATGCAGGGAAGGGGTTGGCGGGTCAGGGCAGGCTTCCGAGAAGCAGGGACGTTTGAGGAGGACCTTGAAGGATGCGCTGTGTCGCGACGGGCAGAGAAGGGAGGAGCGGGAAGGTCTAAGCGCTGAACCCAGCAGGGAAGGGGGGGGGGCTCCGCAGGAAAATGGAAGGTGACCGGCTTGGGTTTGGAATTCACAAAGCAGAGCCTCACGCTGCAGTTAGCCAATGGGAGAAAGTGCGAATCTCCCCAACACCTGTAAGGGCCTTGACCTCAGACCTCCCAGGAAGGGCATGTGCTGCAGAGCAGGACACCTCGGTGGCCAGAAGGCCAGGTGTGCGTCCAGCCTGTGGAGGGGCAGCACGGCACCCGGGACCCCCAGGAGCCCAGGTACCCACATACACCCTGTCTGCCCCCTTTCTTTGTCTCTCTCCCCTGGGGTCTGCGCCTTCCCAAGCCGGAACCTGGCACCTTCCTTCTGTCTGCCTGACTTGCTTTTCCCTTTCATCTCGCATCTTCTCCCCCAGCCTGAGAGTAAGGACAGGTTTTGTTTCCTGGCGCAAGGATGGACACCAGCAGCAAGGGAGGTAAAATACAGGGTAGGGTGAGGAAGTCGGACACCCCCTGCCCCCACCCCCAAGCTGGGCCTTTAGAGAGTCTTTTGAGGGAACCGAAGAGGGAGAGGGAACGGAAGGCCTGATCCCCCTCGGGCCCTGGGTCCTCCTGGCCGGCCGGGCTGCAGCAGCCGGGGGTGACGCTCTCTCTGCTCTCAGGCCCGGGAAGCCGGTTCTCCCAAAGGCTCCTCCCTCTCTGTTCCTGGGGGCCAAGCCCCCGTTTGGTTTTCCCGGACCTTTCATTTCACTTTATCTTTAGCGCCCAACAGGAGAGGTGGAAATAGTATCCCATTTTACAGTGGGGGGAACTGAGGCTCAGAGAGCCAAGTCACTTGTCCCGGGAGCGTGGTAAAGCCGGGGCTGTGAATCGGGGCGCGACGGGAGAAGGGGAGGGGTGGTTTTTGAGTCCTCCGAGCCCCCTGGGACCCCGTCTCTCCACCTCCCGGGCCGCGCACCCCCACTTCCTCTGGAAGGAAACTTCCCGGCGGCGAGGGTGGCGCAGCGCCCTCCTCGGCCGCGGCGGGACCCCGAGGGCGCCCCGGGGCAGGTAGGGCGGCAGAGCCATCCCCCCTGACGGGAGCCGGGGAGCTTCAGAGCGCGCTGCGCCCTTCCCCGGAGAGGCAAACACGGACACGTCTGTGTCTCGGCCGACAAGCGCCTTCAGGCCCGGCGGGGGCAGACTCCTCCGCGCCGGCCGCCGGCGAGGTCTCCGCCGTCTGCGGGGGCACGGCCCGCGCATCGGCTGCGCCCGGCGGGAGGCGCTTCCCGGGCGGCGCGGCGAGGGGGGCGGGGAGGCGGGGCGGGGCGGCGGGGGCGCCCCCGGGGCGCCAGGGGGCGGGCGTGCGGGCACACGCGGTGCGCGGCGGGCGGGGGCGGCCACCGCGCCGCGCGGCCGGGGCGCCCGCCGAGCCGCCCACTTCGCCGCAGCGGCCCCGACGGCCGAAGCTTGGATGCGGCGGCGCCCGCCGAGCCGGGGCGGACGCGGGGCGGCCCGGGCCGGGGACGCGCGCCGGTAGCCCCGGCGCCGCAGCGGCCGCGCGATGGCCGAGGTAAGCGCGGCTCCCGCCCCGGGCGCGGGAGGCCCCTCTGCGCGCCGGGCGGGGCGGGGCGGCCGGGGGCGCCGCTCGGCCGGGCTCCGGCCCGCCACCTCCGAGGGCACCTGCGGCGGCGTCCCCGGGGCGCTGGGGCCCGTCGCCGCCCGACGTCCCCGGGGCGCCGGCGCGCGCGCGGACCGGGCGGGGGTTCCCGGCGCCGTGGGGACGGTCGGGGCGCGTCTGGGGCGCGGGGCTCGGGAGGCCCCGCGGGTCCCCGGCGCCCCCGCGGCGAGTCCCGGGCCGTCTTCCCGCCCGGGTTTTGTTTCCCGAGAACTGAGCGCGCGGGGACCTCCGGTCGGGGTGAGACGTGCGGGCCCCGGGGGCGCCCGGCCTTTTGCGAGGCCCCGCGAGGCGCGGTGCGCACGGGCCGCTCCGACAGCTCGGGGCGCCAGGGCGCAGGGGCGTGCGGCCGCGGGTCTGCAGACGCGCGGGGCGGGCGGGAGCCGGGGCAAGACGGAGGCCGGCCCGGCGGAGGCGCGCTTTGCCGGCGCGCGCCGGCCCGGGACTCGGGCAGGTCGGGGGGCAGCGCCGGGTCGGCTCCCGGGGGCAGGGGCAGGCGGGTGGGGCGTGGCGGGGAGACGGGTGGGGGGCGCCGCCCGTCCCCTGCCCCCCCTCCCCCCGCCAGACCCCAGCCCCGCCGCCGGCCGCCTGGCTTTGCATCAGCCCCTACGGATTTGTCAGCCAGATGTGACAAGATTGCGGAGAGGCGAGGGAAGGAGGAGATCTGATGTTAATCAGTGCATAGCTCGGAGCCAAACTTTCCCAAACGCGGTGTAGAAACATGCTCTTCTCATTTAAGGCATCTCTTTGTGGCTGTGAGGCTGCCACCGGTCGCCGTTTGACAGTTAAAATGGAATGCCAACTAGCAGCCTTAATTGTTGGAGTAAAATTGTGTGTGCGTGTTGTTGGGGGGGGGGGGGTTGGAGGTGAGTGTCAGACACTCTAAGGTTCAGTTATGTCCCCCAGGTTTATGGCCGTGCTCGCCGCAGGTCTCCTGAAGACAGGGCATTTAAATCGGGCCAGACGCCTGGTCGCAGCCAGGCCTCTGCTGTTAACACTTAAGGGGCCTTAAAAAAAGGCCCCAGTGGTTTCCTGGGAATCCTTGTCAGTGAGTGTGAGTGTGTGCGTGCGTGTGTGTGCGCGCGCGCGCGCACGCAGGGGAAAACATGTGTTCCCTGCAAGGCCTGGGCCCACACAGCAGATCGAGCAACAGAAAAAATTTTTAATATGTTTTCATCAAAGTGACAAAGATTTTTGGCTTGACAGTAAGTGAATCGAAACACAGCGTTGGGCAGATGATCTTTTTCCTTTCCTTCCGGTGCCTTTTCATTCTTTGCTTCTCGTTTTAATTTGCTGTTACGTTTCATGGGATCTTTTCCTAAGGTCCGTTAGACTCTTAGCGTACACATAGGTGCTTATATGTTAAAACTTCTGCACAGTGATAAATATATTGGCTTCTCAAAGTGTCCCTTCCTGAATCCGTTGATATATAGTATTGAAACCTCATTTAAAATGTAATATGTCAAAATAAAATTTTCAGATGTCATGTAAAAATAATTAATCAAACATGAACAATTGGCCAGGATTTTGATTTTCGCTTTAAATGGGTGTGAAGAGACAGACATCGCTTTTACTATGGTAAATATTGATAATAACTTTATCCTTTCCGGCTTTCCTAAAAGAGTATTGTGTGAGTCATCATTTGATTTCTCATCTGATAGATCTGCTAACTTTAATTTCACCAGGAAAGTATTACTATTTGAACTCAACTGTTGGTTGAATGTGCTCCGGTTCTAGTTCAAGGCCAAGAAAAGGTGGTGAAATCTCTGAGCTCAAGCGCAGTTCACGCGTTGGGAACTCATAATTATGTTCAGACATCTGCATAATTTAATTTGGAAAGCTCTCTGTACCCATAAATGCTGTTCCATTCAGACTAGTAAGGATTTAGCCAGATGCCCCTCCTCTGGTCAGAAAGTGGCGAGTTAGGAGGGGTTATCTGGCCCTTGATGCATGTGGGGATCCATCATGTTTGCTCTGGTAATAATTCACATCAGAAATATTAACCGACATGAAATCATTCCTGTGGACGCGGAAGGTTTGCATAGAGCGTCATTTTTATTTGTTTCTTTTTATGATTCTCTCGTGCGGCCGTTAGGCTGGCCTCACAGGCCCGTGTTCTATATCTGAGAATCCTCGGCCTGGAAAGGACGATCCACCCCATTGGGTGAGAAAAGCCATGGAAGTTTCCCTGAGGAACAAATCACAGTGGTTCTTTAAGCAGACCGTTATCGTTGATGAAAGCCTAGGGATAAACATAAACATTTAAAAAGTTCAGTTTGTTGGTGAAGTTAAATTGCTGCATACAGGGTGAAGGGCAGAAGCGTGTTTGACCTTTTGTGTATGGCTGTAGAAGTTATTTTGACAGTGGCCACGAAGAGAGTTGCCCTGAAGGTTCCCCAAGGTAAATTACTTGCAGGAGCGAGCTCTACCCCCGGGTGAATTTTCACCTCTACAGATGGCATTTAGAGTGACTTACTTTTGTCAGAAAACAGCCCTGTTTAAGTACTAGAAATACCCGAGGTAAGATGAAATCTCAGTGCTGAGCTACCTTTTTTTTTTTTTTTTGATAACTAATACCAAGATTTGGAGAGCAATATATATTTTTTAATTATCTTCCTCCAAATATCCTATTGCACCTTTTTTATTTATTTATTTACCTCCCATATTTTTGATGCCTTATCTGAGTGATGTTAAGGATAACTGAGTTCTGTGCAGAAGAGACATCTGGAAAGTTCTATGCGTGGGTTTTTTTTTTTCCTTTTAAATTGGTTTCCACCCGAAAAACCTTATTTTCTGTTATCTTGTCATCCTTTGAAGCCCTTTCTCCTAATTCTGGAAATCCTCAGTTTCCAGTGTGGCTCCCTTTCTCTACATGGACACATGCCTGTTTTTATACAAAAAAGAACGAAGAACCAAAAAAAAGCCAAAATTAAAAAAAAAAAAAAAACAGTGGATCAAAAGAAAGAGCAGACCCTCTCTGCTATGCTCGGATCGTAGGCCTTCTCAAACTTTGCGTGTCGTGGGGAAAAAGGCCATCGCCGTTCTCCACGCCTGAGCTCATCACTACAAACCAGCCTAACAAATCATGGGAGAAGGTTGCCTTGAGGGAGATGATAATCTCACGAAGCTCACGTGAGGGCAAAGAGAGATGGAGAAATAAAATGTAAAGGCCAGGTCCCAGCAGCCGATGTGCAGGGAACTGACTGTCTCCGCGAAGGTAAACTTTAATTCAGGCTACTTTTTCCTGCATATGGTTGTGTTAGTCTGTCTCCTCCCACAGACTCTTATTTGAAGGCTCCTTCCGTACACACACCCAAACAAACATCAAAAGTATTTTGTATCTATGCTCCAGCTTCTAGAAGCACCGACCTGGTTCTATAGCCCTCGGTTTGTTTCTTGCATTACTCGTTACGAAGATAAAATTTTTCTGCGGACGACTCCATGCTGGATTTTAAGACAGTGATGAGGATGGCTAATTAGTGAACTCTGGTCTTTTCTTTTTCAAAATTTCATCTTGAAAATCTAAGGTCGCTTTTTTTTTTTTTTTTTAATACTCAGTTCTTAAAATCGAGTTCTGGTTCAGCCCTGAAAAGAAATATCTGCAAACTTTTACCTAGAAATGTTCACTGTTTCATTGTTACGTTGCAGCAGCGGACATGAAGTTGCAGTGCTTGTATAACTGGCTACTTTAGTGAAAATTAAAGCCCAAGTGTCCTTTTTCTGTGTTGGTTTTTGTGTGTTTTCCCCCAGAGCTGTCTCTGTTATGTTCAAAAGTTCCCTACACCTAGAACATCCCTCCGTTTTTTGTTATCAAAGGTTCCTGAAGACTGCCTCGGAAGTCCTCCCAAATTTAGGTTATAAAGGGGAAAAAAAGTGTCCATCTCATTTATATTTCCACTTAGGTTGTTGTTATGTTTTTTTTTTTTTAATGAAGAAATAATCGGTTAAGTTCATAAAGCAACATTTGCATCTCTTTCTACTTTTTATATTTTCTGTTTTCAGAACTAATAATTTTCAGAAAAAAGGGCACAGCTGTTAAATGATTTTGGCACAGAGTTTATACTTTGATTCATAGAGATCAAAAGAACGAGTATTTTCCCCGCCATCCTCTTTGAAGAGTAGCAACGAGGAACGCGGCAAGGGCGTCGCGCGTGCTGTCTCCGCACAGGTAGACTTGGCCCAACATCTGTTGGGAGCCTTCTCCTCCCACCTGCCAGACCCTGCTCCAGCCCCCTGCCTCTTCTTTTCATCCCCCCCCACCCCCCTGCTTGCAGGGAGAAGGCAGATTCCGTCCAGTTGGCTGTGGTGTTTTCATATTGCAGATGATGCCTCCCTCCGTCCCTCTTTTCAACTGTGCTCCTGGTGACAGTGTTGTCACCTCCTTGGGAATCCCAATGGCTCCACGAAGCCAACGGAGAGACTCCTGGCTCGCTCAGCACCGGCCCCCCCCCCCCCGCCCCCGGTGCTGCCTTCCGAGGTGGTTTGCTCTCGCCACCTCCGCTCTGTGGCCTGGCCTCCTGGGTTTCACGCTCACGCACAGAACGAGCCTAGGACCGTGGCATTTCCTGCACGCAGCGAGGGGGGGCGCACCTGCTGCCTCGCGGGGAGGCCTCCTCGGGCCTCATGTAGCCCCTGAAAAAGTTAACTAACACTTTAAGCTCAGTACGTTTCCAGCCCGTGTTCACATGGCCTCGATGGTCTGGTAAACCCAATTTTACCATTGGTGTGTTATCAGGATCCAAATAAGGTCCATATGTCGTCTCTCATAATCTGTAGGTTTACACTTCACTTTTTCCTTGCAGTTTATCTGTTGTTGAAAAAGCTGAGTCATTCGTCCAGTAGAATGCACCCCCCACCCCCCACCCCGTCCCCTGCATCTTCTGTTCCCTGGAGTT